GAGGGGATTCTAAAGCTGGAAACAACAGTGCTGAAATGGCAGAACCAGTTATTATCGTGGACAGGCCTTCAAGCACAGAAAGAAAGACACAGAAAACGGACGGTGCCAAGTGCGCGGTAGCTTGTTCAGAAGTGGACACTGTGGAGGTGGGTAATGGGGGAGGGCAGGGTTCGCTTGATGAGGAAGGCTGTATGTTGCTTGAAGACGCCGAGGGAAGCAAAAAGCAAAAGAAGAGTGGGAGGAGGAGGAGCTGCATGGGAAAAGATGGCCCTGGAGCTGAGGGTGCTGATGAAGAAGCAAGTCCTTCATATGCTGCATTTCCTATGGACAGTGCAACAAAGAGTGACAAGGTAAGTAAGAAGAGAAAGAGTATCAGAAGCGATTCTGAAATGTACAGTGAGTGTTTACCGAAGATAGAAGCCGATGCAGATGGCAGAGAAGGCAGTCTACGTGAAAAAACTAGCGTCGATGTTGAGATGGAGGAAGAGGATGCAGTTGATGTCCAAAGATTGTCATTTGTGACGCCATCGACTGAGAAGGGGAAGAGTCAATCTGTGATGATGACAACAGAAGAAGCGCCAGGCGCTGTGGGAGGTCAGCCTGACAAAGAAGAGGAGGCTATATGTTTGCCTTTGTCGTTTGTCACACCGTGTGTGGAAAAAGAGGGGCTCCAATCAGGAGCAAGACAACATCAAAGAGACTCGGACATTTTGGAAAATGGTGGGCAAGCGGGCGTTGCTGGCGTCTGCTCGAAGGAGATGAACCCAGAGGGAGATGCGGTGGCATCAGCTTGTGTTAAATCAGGAACCAGTGGAAAGAAAAGGAGTAGAAAGAGTGCACCTCGTACTCTTGGAACGATCCCGTTGAGCTTGACTCCGAATCTCCAAGGTGAAGAAGGTGGCATCCCTACTGAGTGCCAGGTCAGTTGTAATGAGGTTGTCAAGATGGAAGAGGGGCCATCTGTGTCTCTCTTGTCAGCGAAGGAGGAGCCACAATGTGGTGGGAGCGATGGTCCTGCGAAGGCTAATAATGAGCAAGGTGAGGGGGAATGTCATGGAGGTGCCGAGGATGCGAGGATGGAGGCTGATGGACCGAGTGTCAGGACAAATCCTACCGACTCCCAACCTAAACCGGATGCGGATGAGCACATGCAAAGTCAGGAGGGTGACAAATCAGGCCACGAGCATGTTCAAGATCATCCTGCGGTACGGAGGAGCCCACGAGGCTTAAAACCTGCAGCTCCTGTTGCGATGACAGGGCGTTCGCGAGCTAGATATCTGGTCACTAGCCCGAAAACAAGACGAACAGCATCTGCTGCAGCTTCTATGTCTGTTGACAGTGAAGCAGACATATCATTTTCACAGAGTGTTGAGGTTGATCAGCAGAATCCCTTGGCATCGAGGGGCACACGAAGAAGGAGAGGGTCAGCATCCTCGTCAAGGGCCGAGGAGCAGGAAGCGGATGGTCCTCCCCAAGTGATGTTGGGGATTAAAAAAGAAGCAAGTGACGAAAATGCGCCTGTGGTGGGTTTGGAGAAAGACGTGGGAGATGAGACGGGGAGAGGTGTTGACATTGACCTCTCGGAAGAGGGGGAAGAGAATCGAGGTAAGAACGCGAAAAGCGAAATGGAGGAGGTGACAGCCAACTTGCAGTCAGAGGAAGCGCAGCAGGACGTCGAAAGGGAGGAAGGAGAGGTAGGGGAGAAGTCTGACAAACATGCCGCACAAGAGGTTCCTTCATTCATCTCCCCGCCAAGAACGAGGAGTGGTCTTGTACGGGCAGCAAGTCCGGTTATGGAGCTCTCAAAAAGGAGAAAGAGGAAGTGAGTTCCAGCAACTCATCACCAAGAAAGAAATTCTGTAGTAACCTTAGAGCATCTGTGTTGATAGTTCTGGTGCATGCTGTAGAGAGAGAGAGAGAGTGGGGGCTTTGTTTGTGCGGAGGCACTAACTGTGTGGAGGGCATGCGTATGATTAAAAAGGTCTTGAGAGTGTGTTCCTTCGAGGGAGATGCAGATAGAGATGCGGAGGAGGAATTGGTGGTTCACATGATTGTTGGCATTGTGAAAGGATGCGATGTGCATTGGTGAGGGAGAGAGGGACACTTTTTTCAACATAATTTTGATTTGGCCAACAACAGTGGGTTGCCGTTCTCCTTTGCTTTAGGCACCATCTGTGAGCCTTCCTTCCGTACCTTCTCTTTGGCTTCCTTTTCTTCCTCTTGCCTGCCATTCTTCTCCTCCTCCCCTTCCTCCCTCCCTGTTTCTGCGTGTTCTTTCACCATCGTCACCTTCATGCTCATCGTCGCCGTCGTTGTAGGATGTTGCTTTTTGTGAAATAGCACATGCAAGCAGGGAGCAGAGGCTTGGCATGTGGACGGCAGTGGTAGTCTTTTTATTGATTTGAGTGCAGTATCCGTTTGATAGCTGATTTTCTGACGGATGGGTACTGTCAGCAGACAAATGGGATGTACCGATTTCCTGGTGAAGGTGTGACATATGGCTGGATAGGTGCTATAGAATACGTCTAAGAGGAACTTTCAGGATGGAGCTGCGAACAGAGTAGAGGGAAGAAACGCGCGGGAGAGTTGTTGCATACGTATGAAAGAGGAAATGCTCAGGTGGTTGAAAAGCATCTTTGATATGTCTTCCTGAGCTGTGACTGTGAATTTTGGCATTCGATTGGTCTGAATTTCTCTGAAATCATTTGTCGTCCACTTGGTTTACTCACCCAATTCCATTGTGCAGGAGGCTATGGAGGGCCCATGGACACTTATGTTGCACTTGTCTTTGACTTGAATCTGTGAGGGAGGGTTGCGCTCGCGAGTGTTCATATACAACTTGCTGGCTAAACATTAGTTTACCACTTTCATCGGCAAACAACCGAACCCTTGGAACCTCGACCTTCAACCATTACTGATGGGGTAAGACTATGCCTTCACCATATTCACTACAGTCACCTGTAAGAACTTAGGTACGAGCCGTATGAATGATGTGTGCAAGAACTCTGAGGACAGCACCGGCGCTGGACCAGGTACACAGCTGACTGACAGGCCGACGAAATGAGGCAGAACAGCTGGGGCTATGATATACCTGTCGCGGTGCTGAACCCTGACCCTCTGTGTACATAAGCTTCTGCATGGCAACGTGTGTTTGTTTGTTGACCTGTTTTCTGTTTTTGTTTTCCCTCGTGCGTCTCTGCTGTGTGTGTGCACATGTGTGATGATGTGCGGTTGTTGATTTGTTTGTTTTGTTCTCTTTACAGGTAAAGTTTATCAGCTGTGGGCTCTGACGGACCCCGCCGTGGCCAATCTGGGCCGTGCGATCGTGGAAATGAATGATCGGTGTTCGTCTTGAAACACTTTGTTTGATTGGCACTTGGTTGTGCGGTTGGTGGACAAGTGGATAGTCTGCCTGGGTGAGAAATGAACGTAGAGAGGTTCTGTGAATGCCAGAGCTTTTCCGAGCCATGATGACGATATGTCAGAGCTGGTCTGCTGTGAGGTGGGGTGTTCAGTGTTCACCCTTTTTACTGTGCGGCTAATGAACATGGGCCTGTTGTGGGGAAGGTGCATTGGAAATGAAAATATATGTGAACAGTAGCCCGGTGGATGAGGTGTTTCACTGCCCCGACGCTTTGGTAGTCGAGGGAGGTGGCCCCCAAGGAGTCGTTTCAGTGCCCCAGCGCTTGGGTAGTTGAAGGAGGTGGGCTTTTTTTAATGGCTTATGATGGTGTGTTTTTAATATGAGCGGGCAAAAGGTCCGGCGCGAGGGGAAAGTGGTGGTTGAGGATTTCCAGACATATGTGAGTAGGCTGATCTGTGCAATGGGTTTATTAGAGGGTGTCGATCGTAGGGGAGTTGGCTGCGCGCCCCCTGTAGAGCAAGCGAAAAAAAAAAGGATTCTGTGTAGATGGCGCCCCCCTCTCGGAACACCCTGGGCCCCTGTGAATACGAGTGGGTAGGAGCTATTTGGTGGGGGACGGTAACTGGTTGTTGATCCTGGCACATGCAATTTTCGATGTCGCTGTACGTAGAGCAGATGCGAAGAGTCCTCTCTGGCGAGCGGAGCGAGTGCCAGGATAGAATCAAGAAGTGAACCATGAATCTCAATTTTCTCGTCTAGAACGGTAAGTGGTTGTTGAACCTGGCACATGCGATTTTCGATGTCGCTGTACGTAGGGCAGATGCGAAGCGTCTGCTCTGGCGAGCGGAGCGAGTGCCAAGATAGAATCAAGAAGTGAACCACGAATTTCAATTTTCTCGTCTAGAACGGTAAGTGGTGGTTGATCCTGGCACATGCGATTTTCGATGTCGCTGTACGTAGAGCAGATGCGAAGCGTCCGCTCTGGCGAGCGGAGCGTGTGCCAGGGTAGAATCGAGAAGTGAACCACGAATCTCAATTTTCTCGTCTAGGCCCAAGCAGCTCTAGCCAGCGACCACCGAGCTGTTCGGGGTGCGCAGAGACGTTACGAGAGAATTCTCTCGATCGAACAAAAGAGTGCTCTTGTACATTGGGTTCAGAGTCCAAGTTCAAAGAGTGAACTTGCTGGCGCCCTGTTAATCGCAGGTCAGTTGGCTGGGCGGGCCCTTTTGAAAACCAGAAAAATTTTAACTTCAAAAAAAGAGATTCCAAGGTGATGGTTGCCGCCTCTTGGGCGATTCTGGGCCACTGTGGACACAGGTGTAAGGCTCATGATGGTGTTGGTTTTGTGAATACGAGGGGGGGGGGGGGGGGGGGGGGGGAAGTGGTTGTCGAAGATTTTCGGACATATGTATGTCATTGGGCTGGTTGGTACTGTGGGTTTGGAGGGTGTTTATCATATGGCATGGGCTGCACAGCCCTTGGAAAATGAACAAAAAAAAGAGAGGATTTTCGTTCAGACGGTCCACCCCTGTCGCATGGCCAATCCCCTTGATTTTTGGGGGGATTGAGTAAAATGCTTGACAGGATGGGGGGACTTGACCCTGGAGGGCAGGAGCAGGGGTATCAAGGGGAGAATTCACAATTTTTTCGGAAAGGGTTAACTTTTAGATGTGTTAGATTTATTTGATTTTTGGTCTATTCCGTGCTTGTTGTTTTTTGTTTTTTCGTGTTGTTTTTGTGTTACTGAAAAACGTTTTTTTACCGATATCTGACGGTGCGCCTTTTCTGGGCTGGACTAGTGGTGGGGTACAGTTGGCTGTCCAAGCAAGTGGCGGAGCATTTTGTCTTTTTCTGGTCAGTGCCGGGTTGTCTGGGTGTCGGGAGGAGACGGCCCTCTTCTGGTCACTTCTCGGTCTGGATGTCTCTTCCTTTAAGCTGTATCTGTTTTTTTTTTTTGTTTTTTTTTGGTTAAGGCCCATGTGCGAGGCCTCTATCCTGGTGGTGGTAAGAGAACCACCGGGATTGAGGCTTTGCCTGGCGGGCCGCTCCATCTATTGGTGGGGAGCATCACCTGCTGGAAACCGGGTCCAGCGTCCCTTAGAACCAACCATCTTTACAAAACGGTACATCATTGGAAGTGACGCCATTGTGCTGGAAACCGGGTCCAGCGTCTCGTATCCAAAACTACTTTTCCACAACTATCCTGCGGCAGGGTCGGGTATTGGTGGGGGAACACTGGGGGGCACCAGTGGAGTCTCCCTCCATCCCCTAACCGCTGCCGTCCACCAACTATCCACAGGACGCCTATTGTGTCAATATGCTGAACAACATTAGACTCTTCCTAGAAAATACTGAGAGATTGTATGCTGAGAATCGGGCTCAGCGTCCCCAAAAAGAACAGCGCCCCATCCCCCAGACCCACCTCCAGGACCACCGGACTGCTTCAGATCTCTCTCTCTTTTGCTGGGAAACGGGTCCAGCGTCCCATACACAGACTGAAAATGAAGTGCATCAGAAGAAACAGTTATCGTCCACTCCCCCCAGGGCGTCTTATGACAAGAGATGGATAGAATTAGGCTGAAGTAAACTGAAATGAACTGAAATACCAGAAGTAAATAGAATGACCAGAATAAGAAAAGTACGATTTGAACGTGATCTGCGAAACCCAGAAGACCAAGCCTGATCTAAGCGTGGTCTGAGGATTCCAGGGCTCATGCAGACGGCGAAATTTCTGCTAAGGACAGCGGATGGGGTGGGAAAGGGTCTGCGCGAAGTCCTGAGCGGGTCGTAGCGGGGAGCCGGGGTCTATCTTGTTCCGGTCGTGGAAAACCAGCTGATAGTCTCTTACTATCTCCGTCCGGGGTTCCTCCGGTGATTCCCTCTCTGGCTGGCGGCCGGTCCATTTCACCTCGGCCACCGATCCCTCCCTTTCTCCTCCCAGCCAGTCCTTGCAGAATGTAGAGATGATCCTGTTCATATCCCCCCTGGAAGACATCTGGTCTAGATTCCTAACTGGACACTTTCGCTGGCTTGTTTTCTAGTCCCCTTGTTTTCTAGCGCCTTTCTATTGACCTGGGCTCTGCTAGGAAGTTGACGACAGCATTCGGTCGTTGAAGCCCTACTTAAACTTTGGAGTCTATTTTCCAGTCCCTTTCCGTGCGACCGTAAGACCCCTGATGGGTCGCTGCGCCTTGTTATTCACTCTTATCTTTTGATGCATTTGGCTGAGTTGTTGACAATGATTCTTTTACGGCCATTTGGTCGCGTTCGGGTATTTAGGGACTCATCTCTCTTTGCTCGCTCGCTCCCTCTTCCTCCTCCCCTCCTCCCCTTCTCTCCTTCCCTCCGCCTCTTCCCTTCTTCCTCTTCTTCTTCTTCTGTCAACGAATTGTCTATTGTATTTGAAATTCGGCTGTTTGGACTTTGTTCTCACCACCTGCGGAAGGTCGAAGGAGAGAAAAAAGGGAGCAGACGTATACTGTGCTCTTCAAAAAGTCTGAAAAAAATGAAAAGATGTGGACACGGTGTTTCATTTCATGAAATTAAAAGGAAAAAAGAAAACGAAGCAAATAGACGAGCGGATTTTCGTCGGTGTGTTTGCAGGTGAAACTCCTAAACGTGATAAGGAATGGCCCCTGATCGTGGGCCGATCACCACCGTGGACGGCACGGACCTCAGAGTCCGATGAGAAACTTTTCTCATCGGCCTGAGATCTGGGCCGTCCGTGATGGTGATTGGGCTGCAATGGATTCCGTTTGCTACCAGTTTGTACCGGAAGCGGAGCATGGCCTGAAACGGCCTGCTCAAACAGCCCACCCCCTCTTTTTTTTCGTTGGTTTTTCAATATTTTTTTTTCGTTGTTTTCTTGTTTGTTTTTCATGGTCTGCTACTTGAAATGGCAGAAATGGCAGACTTTGAAAGGCGTGCCCAGCCATAAAATGGCCCGCCCAGTTTTTTGTTTTGGTTGTTTTTTCGTTGCCGGTCTGTATATGGGTCCGCCATTCGAAGTGCCGGGCTTCTCAACGTGCATACGCCAGAGAGCGCATGTGGGTAACCGTTGCCCCTACCTGGTCGTACCGAACTGTAACCGCCAGGTCACGGGTGGGTATGGGTACCCCTTCGGAAGGAGGCGTTGGGTATGGGTAGTTGCAAACAAAAGGTGGTGGTTGTTAGGGCGGACACAGTTGGCCTTTTTGGAGATCATTGGTGGGTAGGGGCGGGTACGGGCATGGGTCGGCAGGGGCGCGTACGGGTATGGGTGGCCAGAAGAAAAAAAAACTGACGGGTATGGGCAGGTACGGGTGGCCAAAATAGAAAAGGGGTGGATACGGGCGGGTGGAGGTTCCCATCGGGTAACCG